CTCGAATACTATCGAAAATATGGAAAGCGTCGTGATTTTTGAAAAAAAAAGTCCGAGTTAGTATAAGAAAAGGGTTTGAGCCTCTAGTTTTCCATTTTTTGGATTAAGAAGAACTTTCTTTTTTCCATTTCATTTTCCTTAATTCAAATCAAAAACTTCCTCGCTTTATTGTTCGTAATAAGTACTTTCTGTTATGATTTTGATTAATTTTAAAGTCACATTCTACGATTGATTTATTTTTTTTAATTTTTAAAGTTTATTTAGAAATGTAACAAACGATTTTATCATGAGTTAGCCGAAGACCATGATGCTCTAATCGCCATCCCACCAGAAAAATTTAATTTACCTCTTTGAGAAACACTTTTTATATTACAGCGATTTTCACGAGAAAGTACAAAAAATAGTACTCCCAGTTTCTCAAAAATTTTTAATGAGTATTTTCTTACGAAAATAAAGGTTGGATTTATATAACATTAAAAAATCTTATGTTTAAACTTAAACTTAAATATTTGTTTTACAAGTATCCCGTAAGGTATATCATTTTTCTTATATTTACATAAAATTTTCATACAAAATTTTAAATAATCTTAGCTTTTCACCAATTCTAATTTGATACTTTGGTACGAAAAAGTGTATTAAATTTAGTACTAAACGGCCTATTTTCTTACCCGTTCAGCCTTATCACGAGTTTCATTTGCCCCGAACCGGTTCACACTATTCGTTTCCGTGTATTCACTACGAGCGGCTGAAAAAATTTTGCTCGAACTTGTATTCGGGCTAAACTCGCGATAAGTCTGATTACTCGTGCTTCGTAAGCTTCCAAAATACAACCTTGAGTAAATCTCCTATTATTATTGCATCATGGCCGCTGACCAATATTTCGTCGATCGTATAATTAGGCTACCCATTTTCATCAAATTTGGGACAAATGCCCAATCATTTTAGCCTTTAAATTATTTTGCATATGCATGTTTGCATATTTGTACTTTTTTTTTANGACTATTTTGGGATAATTTTAGGACCATTTCGGGCTTGGTTTAGGACCATTTTGTAACTTGTGGGGGACTAATTCGGGACCAGTTTTGAACAAATTCAGGAAAATTGTTGGTCTAGTTTTAAAATGTTTACAGCCATTTTGGGACTAGTTCGCGATCATTTTGGGACTACTAAAGGACCATTTCGGGACCGTTTTACGACTTTTCCGGCATTTTCGGGCCAATTTAGAACTATTCCGGCATAATTTCGGGACTGGTTGAGGACAATTTCGGGATAGAGCTCGACTATTTCAACACCTTTTTATGACTAGTTCAGTAAAATTTCGGACCTAATAAGGGTCATTTCGGGACTGTCTCAAGTCTTGTTTGAAATCATTACGGGACAAGTTTACGATTCTTTCAGAACCACCTCAGGACAATTATTGGACTATTTATTACGGGAACATTACGAGACAATTCGAAACTAGACCTAGAAGTTCAAAGTTACCAACTTAGGATCAATACAGACACAATTTTTAATCTCTAAATTCTGGAAATCTCGGCAAATCGGGTATAGTTTCCAAAATCTGTTTTGGTAGAAGCGAATTTATATAAGCGATGATAGGACCACAAGTCTTAAATGATATTATTTGTATATATTTAATTCTCTTTCTAGAAAATACAACATTAACTCATCGAATAATTCAAGGCAATCGACCCAAGAAAGCGGGCATAGTGATTCATATTTAGAAAATGCAATATTTTTGGTTTGTGTCCCCAGCGTGTCCTGCGATTTCCTTTTTTTTGCTTGAACTTTAACACATTTTACTTTTATTATTTTATTTGTGAAAAACTATCAAGGAAGTTGGCTTTCATGCACGAGAGATCGTCTGCAAGTCAAGACTTTTTTATTGAAATATTTTGTATTCTTAGATGAACTGTTATTGAAACCAGATTTAAGCAATTAAGTTCATCTCCTTTCGATTTTAACCGGAGCAAACTTATGAAATAAAAATATGAAACCTCGCACTTTTCTTTGAATTCCATCAGCCAACCAACCTATCTCGCATGTATTTTTATCATTAAAAAAATTAATTTTTTGCATAAATTTAGGGTTCGCAACAATTTACAAATAATGGAAAAAATATTATAGAATAGAATAGTTTAAGTGTTAGCGTACTGTAACTAGCTTATACATATAGATAAATACGTAGTATAAAATATTTATTATTTAATTCCCTGTTAGAGTTTAGTTCAAATTCTAGCGAAGTATAATGCTGTACATATAGCGGTAATAAAGTTATAAATAATTGTGTAGTAAGCAGCGTTTTAGTAAGTAGTAAAACAAATACAAAACGAGCACAGAAACTCACCGCTGCAATTCACAGCACGCAAAAAAAGTTGTAATCAAATGAAAATTAACCGACATAATATCAAACATCATCGAAAATATTTAAAAAAAAAAATTATGTAAAATCTATATGTGTATGTAGTGATAAGTGAAAACGATTGGTAATGATTGGTATTAACGAAAATTGCATAAATTGAATGAAGACTTTCAGCTAAAACGAAGGGGGAATAATTGTACGAATTGCAGTTACTATAAAAAATGCCTAGAAGAAGTACATACATACATAAATACATAATTAAGTAGTAAATGTGGTAATTGAATAGTTAATTTAAACTGATGTAGCATAAAAGACATTGTACGCTGTCACATTTAAGTAAATTATATTAAGTATACACATACTTCATATGAATAAAAACAAGTAATTACATACTACATTAAATAGTTGATATTATATTTTAACGAAAAAAAATGATGATATTAAAAGAAATATACTATATGAAATAATAAAAAAACTAAAAGAAAAAACGATGTATTTTACTCGCGAATTTTTGCAGAATCACTATCTGGTTGCATTTAAAATATGGATACTTGCGCCTATGTGCACTAAGGTAGAAGTGGGAAATAATCGATAACACTATCGATGGTTGAAAAAAAGTGCAAAAGTATCAGTNTTTAATTGTTGGGCAAATGAATACAATACGTGCACCGATTAGTGACAAGAATAGCAACCATCTTGGATCGGCGCATTTATGTATAAAATTTATGAAACTTTATGTACGCAGGTATGAAAAAACTCGTAACTTCTACAGTTTTGGTGTTTCCATTCTCAAATTTTTACAGCGTACTCCATAAAGTTTGACAACTAATCAGGTTGGAAAAATCGAACATGGTGCAGTTAATAAAAATAAATAAAAAATTCAAAAAATTCAATTTTTTAATGCAAATTTTTCTTTTTATCTATCTCACACTCTCATGGAAAGTCGATTAACTGATTTACTCCGACAAACAGTTTATTAACTGCAACAATTGAAAAAAAACTTCTTTGTGAGTTCAAAATCTCGGGAATTTTTTTTCGAGATTTTCGAATATCATGACGAAATAAAAAAAATTGGTGTCTGTAGTAGAAATTGTAGTAGAATATTGCTATAAGTATGACCTAGATTTAGAGAATACAACCATGTAAATGCAAATGACCCAGATTTAAGAAATATAACGCTGTAGAAATACAACTCTGTATATGGAAAGCGTCTGGGTAGAGACAAGAAAAACGAAATAAAGACATTCGTAAAATAGCATCGAGCAAGTGAACTTGTGCGTTTTCGTGATCGGCCTCTATCTTATTGCCTGCTACAGTCGCCAGAAGTGGGATTGATATCCCAATTTTTTTTTAGTGTTTTGCGCCTTCGTACAAATATTTGGAGTGCATAATACCTGCTAAGGTTGCGACGAAATTAAAAAGTTTATAGCGCTCACGGACACAAAGAGAAAAATAACTAACTATTTACGCGTAACAAAATTAAAGTCAGCGTGCAAGATGGAGGACACCATTGCGGTAGAAACATACACAACAACACAACTGAAAGAGTGGCTGCAACGTTTGAGTCTTAAGACAAGCGGAACGAAGATGGAACTTGTTAAGCGTTTAAACGAAGTTCCCCAAGCGACACGTGGAAATTGCC